AGGTTGGGAAAGAGAGAGAGGAAAAAAAAACAAAACAAAACAAAACAAAAAAAACATTCCTGAAACAAAATCACAATCAGATCAGAGTCCCACTTATAGGGTAGCTACTCCACGAGGCCGGGCAGAGGGTTGAACCAAAAACTGCACTCCTCCTCATCCCTCCAGGAATCGCTTTAACTAACACGTACTGCAGCCACATTACACCGAATTTTAGAAAATAACTTATTTCACCAACTTTAGAATTTGCTTTCTGTCGATGAGGAGAAAAAAACGTCATTTTCACGACACTTTTATTCAGATTTTGATTTTTTTTTTTAAAAATAAGAAAACAGCACTTGATTATTGTTTCTGTAAGCTTGCCAAGATCAAAATAAGTTTTCTTTAAAAAAAAAAAAAAAAAAAAAAATCCCTACTGCATATGCAAAGGGCGTTGACATGGCAAGCCTGGACGTTTGCTGTAATGATCTGCAGTCGGTGCCATGAAGCAGCTTCTAAAACTGCGTCGTGGGCACGGATCGCTCTGCCAGCTTTAGTGCTGCCGCTGAACTGGAGGGCCATCACAGGGGTCAGCTGTTAAAAGCAGCCCCTATCTTGTGTCCCTCGCTCTCTCTCTCTCTCTCTCTATCCTCTGCCTCAACCCTCGCCACTGTACAAATGCCAACTTGACAACAACTGACACAGATGGTGAGCAGAAACACGGGACAGGCAATGGAGGAGAACCACCCACAGGAGTAAGAAAACAGGAAGACTCTACACACACTGTCCAAGAGAGGATATTGCCTGACAATAATATCAACTCATTTATTTATTTATTTACTTTTTTACTTTTTTTATTGAACTCTTTTACCTTTTTTCTACTTTTTTTGTTTTTACTTTTCTTTCAGCGCATGCTATGTGAGGATTTAGGGATTATAAAAGTACCTGAAAGAACTGCAAGGTTTTCCGCATGCATAGACTTTGGTATTTACAGGTTCGTATGTACAGGCCAAAACCAGACTGCTCTACAGAGATGGCTTATTTACACTCAGGTCGGAGGGAGAGGTTGATGCTGTACCTACAGATGTGAGAGGTAAAAGGGGGGGTCACATGCATAGGGTCAGAGAACGCTTGTACAGCTGAGTACAACTCTGACGACCAAGAGACAAAACGAAACACGGCAAATGTAAGAATACGGATTATTTAACGACAACGCATCTTACCCGTGCACCTTTTTGCTTTGCGAATACGCTCAGTATGACTTCTAGTTATTGCTCAACGCTTTATTAGGACATTTCTATTGCCAGTCCGTGACATGAGGTTCTTGGATATTGGGTCAATATTTTGATTGGAAGACTTGGATCTGGTCCCAGAGCTGTTCCAGAACTGTAGTGCTGAATTCAACGGTAATGCAGGTTTGTGCTGCTCACCAAAACAAAACAAGACAAAAAAAAAATAAAAAATCACTGTTACTGCAGGGTATATTTCCTCAGTAACGGCGTTTATTATCCACAAAAAGCAGATATTCACAGAAGTAGCTTACACAGAACCTGCTGTCAGGTCTTTCTCTATCCTACTCTTTTGGTTTGCTGTCTTGCTGTAATCTATCTTCTGCTTTTGCATATTGTTAAGGTTTTGGATTCATTTTGGCGCACGTTTTCTGTCGCTTTGTCTTCTGTACTTAGATTATTAATCTTTCCGTATGACGACGTAATCAAGACTCTGACCCGTTAGGTTCATTAGAATGAACCTAACGGGTTCATTCTAATGAACCCGTTAGCATATTTAACTTCATTTCTTTAAGTGCTTTGCAAAAGACGCATACCTCTTAAGGTTTTTCACATTTTGTCACATTACTGACTTTCAACATTTTAAATATTGCAAATCTGAAAATCCACATCCACTGGTTTTAGCCCGCTTTACTAGGATGTCCATAAATAAAATGTAATGCAAGCAATTGCCAACAAGAAGTTACTGATGTGGTAAAACTAAAATTGCATCTGGGGTGTCATCCTGAGGACATGATCCTGATAGTGAAACATGGGAAAGTCAATGTAATGCTTTTCCTCAGCAAGGAGGCGGGAACACCACCCACAGCTACAATAGATTGGTTCAGATCAAAGCATATTCATGTGTCAGAAATGACCAGTAAATGTCCAGATCGTGGACTTTTGGCAGACCTAAAAAACTCATATTCACAGATCCTCTCCATACAACTATGTATTAATCTATCAAAGAAAAACACATTAAAGTTTATGGTTATTGTAACATGACAAATGTGAAAAAGGCTCAAGAGATGTGGATACTTTTGTAAGTTGCTGTAACTCTTCAGCTGCAATTAAAGCTTTGTTCTTATCTGTTGAAGAAATTATTCGGGGTGACCAGAGTAAAATGTTTTAGGTTGTGAACTGTCAGCAGGCTGCTTGTTCAGAAAATGATCTTTTCATTGAGGAAGTTTTTTTTCCCCTTCTCACTATTCCACACAAATCTTAAATCTCTCATTTGCTCAGCTTTAAACCTTCCCTGAATTGATCTCGAGTTCAAGTTCACAGCTCTAGTTGGAAAAGAGCAAAACACCAAGGATGTTTCTCAGAAAAGTACTGTACACAAAGTAATGATTAACATTTAGCCGGAGAAGATAAAGACACACCGAAAGTTTGCAGACAGCTAAATTTACAGACCTCATCTACACTTGGAGATGGGTTGGAAATGGCTACAATTCACGTCTTCTTCATGTCTTTCTTCTCTTTTCATTCGTGAGCAGTTACTCGCCTGTGCCTTAAATGCACATAGGAATGCATTTCTGTGCAAAAAAGAAGTGTAAAAGACTTTTGTTCATGCTGCCCGTACTTCTACCTCACACATACCTTGTCTATCCTTTCTGCAAATGCGCACACACACACACACACACACACACACACACACACACACACACACACACACACACACAATGATAAATGGCTGCGGTGGGTGGCTAAGCATGTTAATGCCTAATCTCATCAGCCTTATCTCTTACAGAGGTCACAAGATCAAGTGGTGTGGGGCTGAGCTAAACACCAATAAGATTGTACAAGCAGTCTATGTAATAGTTTATCTGGCACGAACTGCACTGCCGCACTCTGGGTTTGCTTTCCAAAGAATGTTAAAAATCCAGATTCTAAAAGTTTCATTTGAAATTGTTGCTGGAGTAGTGTTTGGTAATTGAGCCGCTCAGAAAGCCAACCGAGTTCAAGGTGCGTCAGCAGCTACAAAGCCCAGCAGCGCCGAACTCCTCTGTCGAGTTTGAAAGCGGTTTTGCTTCTCAGACGAGCTAAATCAGATGCCCTCGGTGAGGGAGATGAGTTAGACCGAGCGCTTGTGAACCTGTAACTCAGAGACATTGCTTGGCATTTAAGCGGCTTTGATATGCTGACATGTGACGTGGACGAAGTTATCGCCTGGCTGGCAGGTGAGACAGACAGCGGCGCACAGAGAGATGCAGCCGTTTCATCTGCTGTTTACCAGCTCGCTCATCACACACCGCTTCAAACACACTCAGTCTGCTGCTGCTGCTGCAACGTTGCGGGGTCGCATCCTTGTGTGGATCTGAACACACAGCTTACAGGAGGGGCTTGTCTGTGAGCTAGTTTGTTTCTACTGATTAAATAAATAAATAAATAAATAAATAAATAAATCCTCTTCCTGTTTTGTTTATTGCATATGCATTTTGCACATATTTATTTTTAAAAACCAGAATCTTTTCGCTTCATGTGTCTTAGCCTCACAGCTGCTTTATGAAGCTGTTCAAACAGTTGGCATGTGACGCGCCTCCATTATGCATGCGTGTATATATCTGTGTGTTTGACTATTGCGCATATGGGCTCGTCTCGGCGCGTGCCAGTGCTCTGTGCTAAAACTCTCATCACTCTCATCGGGAGATAAAGTGGGCAAGCCATTTCATGTGGTCGTACAGAAGTCGTCTCCAGCCTCGGGTGTTTCGCAGGGAAGCTGTCACAGCAGCTTTTAGCCGGAGCCGCAACATGAAAGATCCCTCTTTGAGCAGTCGGGTTATGTGTGTAATTCTCTCTGACGTGTTTATTCAACTTTCATTTTCAAATGTCACATAAATCTCTTCCCCCCACCACCACCACCACCTCTAAGAATATCCCCGCTAATTACCGCCTGAAAGGACATGGTGTGTTAGAAAACTTAGCAGGTTGTGCCCATGCACCCTTTCAGTTTTCAGAAACAACATAAAACTCTGTGAGTTTCTGAGTTTAAGACTTTATGACACTCATAAATAAATGTACTTAGAGGAAATTAGTGAGGAAGCCTTCTGGTATGTGTGTGTGTGTCCTTACAGGAAGAAGAAAAAAAAAAGCTCTTTTTTTTCTATAAGTAACTGACTTATAACTTAGATACAGAATTATTCTTGCATAATTTCCAACGCTTATATTTAACTTTAAAAGCCTGGCTCAACCGCTGTACACATACTGTGAAAATATACATCTTCATTTCCACTGGAACCTATTTTTGTGTTATTTACATAAAAGCTGCATTTTCAGTGGCGATTCCCGTCCAGACTGGAGATGCTTTTACCCTTTCCCACTGCGTCTGTGCATCTGGAGTTTCCACACACAAGTCCTGTACATGCCAGGTAGAGAAGTAAATAAACAAATAAATATATGTACACGGATATATGTACAGTTATGTCTATACGAGGCAGTCCTCATTGGGCTGAGAGAAGGGTGAGACAGCTTGTGTGTGAAAGTCTTTTTATTTTTATTTTTTTCCTGTGGCCACTCGGTCCTGCTGTCTCCTCTTCCCGGACTCCCTGCATGTTTGCGTTTATCTCATAAAAGACGCCTGGATGCCGCTTGCCGTTCAGCCTTTTTCTCTGGACAGGACACCTCTGAATGTCTGTGTGCGAGTAGATGAGTTCTCCATGTTTTGCCTCCTCCTGCAGGATGATCCCCAACTAAGTCGTCTCAGTGCCACTTATTGTGTCCTTTTTTTCTTTTCTTTTCTTCTTTTTCCGTCCACAGCAACAAGGTGCTGCCACCACGGTGTACTGCGCGGTGGCCCCGGAGCTGGAGGGGTTGGGCGGCATGTACTTCAACAACTGCTTCCGCTGCCAGCCGTCCAACCAAGCCCAGGATCTGAGCAGCGCCGCCAGCCTGTGGGAGCTGAGTGAGCGCCTGGTTGCGGAGCGATCGGTCGGGATCCAGTCCCTTTAGCGGACTGAGATCCAGGATGCCGTGAGGAAGAAGTCAAAGAGGAAGCTGTTGATGTTGACTTGGGTGGGGGGCGAGAAGGGGGAACTTAATAAAAGACTCTGACTGCACTATACAAAAACTGCCAAACCACAGAGGTCCGCATGGATATGTCACATCACTACAGGGCTAAAACACGCTACATACACAGTAAGGAGGGGGTTTCATTTACAGCTTAAGTTCAGGTGTAACTTTCTTTTGGTACTTTATAGTAGAAAGTAGAGAACTTAGAAAGAATAGTTTGTTGTTGTTTTTTTCCTGCTTTCGTCTTGTAACCCTTTGACCACACACAGTTCATGAGTAAGGTTAGAGTCGGATTGCAGCTATGGGGCTATATAAGAAATATCATCTTCCAATTGAATGTCTTTGTAATCAGTATCGTTTTGGCTACTTTGGTGCAGACGTTTCTGCCGAGATTTGGAGTCTAAACTGAGAGATAAAAAGTAGTGAGCGCAGGACCCTTACGAATATATAAACACGGTAGAGGTATGTTCCTTATGACTATTTACATTATTCTGCAATAACTTAATCTTTATCAGCGTCCTTACTTGTTGTCTGTACAGTATTTACATCCACCTGATTTGTAGAGGGCGTCCTAATTTTCTTCTTCCTATGGTCAAACTAGAGTTTCCGTACTAAATCTGAATTACAATTTGGAGATTTATGGAATGATGTTTTACCACTATGTAAGAGTCTTATTTACAAGTACCGGGGTCTTTCGTTTTCTCTGTGTCTCCTCTTGCTTGTTGTACGAGAATTTGCGATTTCAGTTTGTCGTTTCGTTTTTAAATTGTGAGCTTTAGTGTTGAGCCTCTGCATTTGGGTCGGGTTGTCCTGAAGCCGCTGGGAGGGCGAGTCGCTTTTGAGACATTGTGCTTCATGGCAGTCCAGGTGCCGTAGGTTGTTCATAAAACAGCAGTCCAGTGTCATAATATCTGAAATTAAAAGAAGAAAGGGGAAAAAAATAAACATGGGAAAACATTCAACAAATCCATGTGTTTGTTTTTTTTTTTATATACGAAATTCTAAAAGTGCATTCGTTTTGTAGGTCGTTAGCAGGTGATATTTGTGTAGGAAGGTGAGGAATAACTCAATACGTCAGTGTTATGCACTCTAGCACACATTAGATGCAAACAAGCACATTAGTGAAACTTTAGATTTAAGGTCTGTGTTAACACAAAAGCTTTTACACCAGGTGTTCATAGGACAGATCAGTCAGTCATACAAACAGCCTCGCACATAAATTCTCAGTGGCCTTTAAAAGCTGGAAAATCATTTTGAAAGAACTATATTACATTTCTAACCTGCTTCACACGTGATTAGATAATTATCTTCCTATCAAAATATAAAGACAAGCAACAAATTTATTGAGGAACAAAGGGATACATGTGGATGAGTCCATCTAGTTGTTACCGTGGTTGTTAGCAAACCAAGTTTCAAATCAGCAATAGAACGGTGAGCAATTAATCCTGAAGTTAACATGACTTGGTCATTTTTTCACTTTTAAATCCCTCAGATTTCAAATAGTTTGCCATAATTAATAAATGTATTTGCACATCAGCTTACCCATATGACATTGTTCACTTTTTCATTTAGTTCATTTAGGTACTTCAGAACAGTTTTATCCATGACTGTGTGTTTCTCAAGTTTGTTTCTCAAGTAAAGTCGGTTTGTGTCTGTTTTTATTAAATGTTTTTTTTTTTTTTTTTTTTTTTTTTTTTTTAAAAAAAAAAAATTGATTTGAAAAAATTAAAATATGGTACCCTTTTTCATTTTTGGCCCCGGTAAAA